ATCAGGCATTTCTGTAAAGTTTAGAAACTTGCTCCAGATGTCCAGCAAAAGCTTGCAGCAGTTACATACTACAAGCCAGCAGATGTTACCATTTTTTACAGCTTATAACTGCTATAAGGCCTGTATTTTGGGAAGTGGAGAAGTTATGTAGTCTGTTAAAATAGGGGAGGAATTATATGGAAATTATGACCTGCTAGCACTGAAACAGCCTAACAGTTGTGGAGTCTTAAAAATCCACCTGTCCCGCAATGGATTTTGTATTTGATGCGAAACACATTTCAAAGTAACACTGAAATCCTGTAAAACAAAACCAAGCAAAGTAAAAACAAAAAAAAAAACACTATCACCTTGCCCAGAAGTAAAAAGTAAAATACCTGATAGCGCAGTATTCAAAGAGTGGGGCCTATATTCTGCCACAGATGTTGTGGGACTAGATAATATGAGTAGCAGACTAGATGATATGAGTCCTTGCAGAAGGATGATACTAGTTGCATAAGGACCATGGACTGTACTATATCTGTATGACTTTCTTGCACTCCTTAAAAGCCTCCTCCCTTCCAAACAGACATGTGGGAAAGGCAGAGCCTTCTCATTCCCTGCCTCCCAAAAGCACAGAAACCATGCAAAGAAAGCACACCCTAGCCCATTCGAAGTAAGCAAAGCATGAACAAACTACCTTGCCCTAAGTCAGGGCAGCAGCATGCGAGAGGTCGGCTGAGCCGCTGCACTCACGCTGCTCTGCAGAAGTCCCCTGGCACAGGTGACGCTCGAGGCATGAACAAGACCCCCTCACCCCATGCTCATCTGCCAACCTGGGGGCTCAGTCTGGGCATCAAGGGCGGGAGAAAGGGCAGAGGGCTTACCCTGGCCACGCAACTGAAATTCAGTGTATTCCAGCTTCAAGCAGATTCCTTGCACACCCACAGTTATTTTCCAGGCTTCTCCACCAGGCTTCCTCTGACATACTTACACTCGGCTATGAGGGTTCATCTGGTTGAAGAGTTCTGATTTTGTCGAAAGGCCTAAATGCACGTTTGCCTATTCCAATATCAAGAAAAGATGCATAAACACTGTTTTCCTCCAGGTTTTTCCACGAATCGTGCAAAAAAAGAAAAGGTGATGCGAGGTGTCTGGGATGCTAGCTCTTCTTGCAGGTATTGTTTTAGGGGATTATCTCTGAAACTTTCTTTCCTGCCCTGTAATTTACACTGCTCCTGCTGGTAGTGCTTGCAGGAAATATAAGCAGCACTAATGGGTATGGATCAGTCGTCTCCAAGACTGTAAAAAAAGAACCATGGGGAACGATGACCCTGTAAGATAGATCAATGCAGCTGCAGATTGCTTCTTATCCTATTCAGGTTATTTTCCTTAAATGGCGTCGCGGCTCACACACTGTGCTGAAGGTTTTTTTTACTCTTGCATTTTTAACACTATTACCAAGAATACTTCTTTCCTCTTGTTATGAGAATGAGGAGACAGTGTTTCTTTAATCGGGATCAGATCAATTTAGCTAAAATAAAATTATTTTCTATAATTTGCCTATAGTTATTCAAAGGATTAGTGAGAAAATGTCACTGAGCAGATACTTGTCTGCTCATTAACATTCACAACAAAACCTTCCGGTAGGATTGGTTTAGGCTGCTGATGGAGCAATACTTAAAAGAAATTGGCTTATCTGTGAAACAGCTGCTCAGCAAAGCCACCATGCAAGGGAATTGGTGATAATAAGATGATAATATTACAGCTACGCTGGGAACACAGTATATTTTAAGCTGCTTTGAGGTATGCAGTGGGGGTCCAAGAATTAGCACATGATTGCTTGTCTATTGCTAGGAACAGGAAACAGCTGATCATTACACGTCTGCTTATTTGGATTAGTCCTGCCCTAAACAGTGAAGTAAAAGAAAAATCCAGGCTTGCTGGAACTCTTCGCTCCTTGTGACTTTCCTGCCTATTGGCAGCCTATTAAAAACCTACTGGCTTTCTTCCAACCCCCCCCGCCCTAGTTTTGGGAAGTGCCATTGCTGAAACAGGTGCTCTATTCTTTGCTAGCAAAATTGATCACCTACTGTATCTAATCGAATCTTTGTCGTTTTGAGGCTTTCTTCTTTAGGCAAGAGTCTCAGGAGAGGATGCACTGGCTCCTCACGCACCCAAAACGCACTCGAAATTCCAAACCTCAAATTTTTACAATGACCATCCATCTGGCAACGTAACAACGAGTATGCAGGTGTGGGCAATACACAGATGTACAAATCCATACATAAGGCTCACTCAAGAAATGTTTGGCAGCTGCTGTTATGCTGTGCAGTGACTCATGCTAATTCACACTCACCACCTAGAATACAGAAACTAAATGAAAAATACTATTGTCGGAGCTTTGGCTCTCAGTGATTGCTGAACCCCGCATACTATGCTAATATAACAATTATATACGCTAATAAAACAATTAGAAAAAATGAACCTAGAAGAATGGAGCAATTACAATTCCCATCACAGTGACAAGTCCTTAGAAATGCAGAGGACAAATGAAGAGCATTGTATGGGGCTTTAATAGGCAAGAACTGATTGCCAGTTAAAACAAAGACATCTTTTCTTTTTTTTTCTGATTGTAGCTGGTTCCAAAGCACTTAATAGTTTTAAAAGTTCTCTGCTAAGCATTTAATATGTAGCTTCTTGGGTTTACAGCTATTACAGAAATTAGTTGTTATAGAAATTTAGAAGGAACTGCAGTTCTGCTAAAAATGAACCATAAAAAATGGATATAGAAATGATGCAGAAATGTATAAGAGTGTGTGTTTGACCTGAGGCTAAAGAGACAATCTTTCAATTACAGCAGATTGAGTTCCCTAGTAAAAGATCAGATCATGAATGGGATCTGGGGCAAAATCCTGAAAGGGAAAACAGTCTTCAAATTAGCTCTCAAAAAACCAATCAGAAAATCATTCAGTCTATGCTTAAGTGTACGGATTTGGGACAGAACAGACATGATAGAAAATCCAAAAGACTACAAAATAAGATAACAAGGGTAAGACATATGAAGGTCAGATCATAATTCAACAGAGAGTACCCTTAGAGGGTCGTATGTTGTCAAAACTAGCATTACCCTAAGGCATGCCTGGCACACCAGGAAAAAAACACAAAAACTGCAAGAACTTCCATATCGTTTTGGAAAAGTTTGCAAAATAATATAAATGTCTGCATGAACAAAGAGGCTGGCACCAACACTAGTTCAAACTGATTCCTCACAGGAGCAATGACAATATACTCTCTGTCTCAACATTACTTAAATGTTCACATATTCTGTTATTGCTTAGGTATGCTGCTCATGATAAACATAAAAACTTCCATGAAATGATTACAACTGGCTGTATCTGTTTCAGTCTTCGTGGCATAATAGCAACAAATGGCAGAGTCACGCATCAGAGCTTTGTACAATCAAAGTATGAAATTAAAACAAAAAAGATGATCTCCAAGATTTGTAACATTGATGTTATCTAACAATCCAATATTTGTTTTTATGCCAAAAAGTGCCATCCTATTTCAAATTGCAAGAAAATCTAGTTGCTTTTATATTGAAGGACACAGCCTATTAGAGGGTATATTTTTCCATAAACCTCTTCCCCTCCTAGAAAGACTAAGCAGTTTTCCATATAAATGAACAAGTTCTGAAAAATTTTAGAATGGTATTAAAATACTGTGACATAAAGTTTAGTCACTTAGTGATGATACTGAGACTTTGCATTGCAAATAGCCTTAAAAAAAATCAAATAAAAGCCAGAAGAAACCACCTAGTCTTTTAATCTGACTTCCTACAGAGCAGATCCATAAGAATCTCAGAATGTAATGTTTAAAACAGGTCAATAACTTTGAGCTATATCCTACCATCAATAAAGACACACAGCCTTGATTTGCAGAATTTCGGGTTACAGAAAAAGCCATCACATCCTCAAGTTCACTGCAATACCAAAAGGCATCCAGTTGCCAACGAATTAAAAACGCAGTCTGAACTCTGCGGTAAATCAGGGCAGCATTTTCAGTAAACTGCCTTGCTCACCCAACACGAGCGATCATCTTTGGTTCCTTCTAGAAAAAGAGAAAAGCCCTGCAGTTGCTTTTGAAGGTTTCCAGGTCCATGTTTATGCAGAGCGGGAAGCATTCATCACAAATACAGATTTCATACTTGGCTAAAGCTATTACCAAACATTCTGGAGCTATTTTAACATTTGCTAATCTGAAGTTTATGAGAAGAACTTCGTAAGTTGTGACTTGCAAATATGGACACAGCCTTAACAATTGCTTAATGCTCACTATTAAAGAAAAGTTGTTAGCAAATCCTGGCAATGGACCCTTGATTCCACTCCCAGATCTTAAAAAGGCTGAGGGCCAGAAGAGATCAGAGTAATAACAAAGCAAAAAAAAAAAACCACAAAAACTGCCTTTATTGACTTTTCCAACATATAAAAGATTCGTATTTAATATGGCCTGAGTGGTTTGCATTAAAATCCCTCCCAAATGCGATTGAGGCCTGAGTGAAACCAAGACCCTCTGAGAGACTCTGTACCTCATAAGAAAATCATGCAGGAAGAAGCTAGAGCCTTCAGGCTACAGGCGGCAGACTACAAAAAAATAGCTCTGCAATAACAAAAATCATGGGAGATCCATAGTTCATCTTGCAACAGTGAACATAATTGCAAACCTAAATTTTGCATTTGAAATTAGGAGACAAAAATTATAAGCCTCCCTATGCATATCTAATCTCTTTTCTCAACATTAGCCAAGCCTGCAGGCGCTTAACAGTCCAATTCTTGATGTTATTGTAATTAAAGGCAATACTCACAAGGCTGATAAGGGTACCAGCTGTAAGTTAACCCTTATCTTAGCCAAACTGACAACTGCAAATGTGATATCAAATTGGAGGGAAAAGAACATTGGAATTCGTCTTGGATAACTGACTTACACCCATAACCTTGAAAAGAAGTAAATTATATCCAGCCTACCGTCAAACTTCTTGTGCCGGGATACAAATGTGGTGCGTACAAAGTGACTTGTCTCCTCCACCAAGTTTTCGAACTCCAGTTTGCTCTGCTGGCTTAACTTGTCCTCCATTTCTGAGGTGCAACATGTATATTCCTGAGGGCAGATTCTCAAATGTTCCCCTGGAATCACAAGAGAAAATGCATTAGAAACAGTTAAATTTAAATAGCTGTATGCCAGAGTTTTCTGTGAACTTTATATTCATGCACGATATCCCTTCAGTTAAGAAATGTGTGCTATATACCGAGCTCTTTAAGGCTTGACCACTTCACTGGAAACATTCCGAATCTGTATCAAGTACTCTGCCACAGTTGGCCACTCATCACACAGTTGGAGAGATACGTTTTTCAGAGACTTTTTGATACTTCAGAAGGCAAAACTATTTCAAACTTAACATGATTCTTAAACTGAGGAAGCCCTTCTCATAAACCTAGGAACACTTAAAAATTCTACAACAATTGCTTGCTTTCTGTTTGTATTCAAAATGCCTTGAGAGATACCTAGTGACATGACCAAGCCACCAGAGATTTCTGGCTGTCAAAACCTAAAACCCAGAAATTATATGTTTCTGTGACGTGGTCCTACTCTGCTGGGCAGAAAAGGTGGTTTGAAATGTGATTATTTCCTTCTATCTCAATGATTGCCCAAACGCACCAAAACACTCCCCCATTCTACCCTTTTTTCCCTTCTGCCTGAGTAAGTGAATTTTAACGACTGTGTTTGGGTGCCACATGTTTTCTTGGATGACAGTTCTTGTCAGACACAGCAAATGCTCCACTGAATGGGAGAAAGCAATGAAGAGTTTAATTAAGCTTATGTTATACGGAAATGCAATGTAAAAGGTAATGAAAGCCTCTTATTTAATTCAATAGATTTATCTCTTGAAGCACTGTGCCAGTTCTTGTGACAATATTGCTTTCTTTGGTACAATTTGCAAGTGGAAACCAATTCTTTAGCTCATGAAATTAAAATGGTCTGTTATTACATGAAATGTGAATTTGCAATTGACACTGTACTATGGGCGTCAGAAACATTTAGCTTAGTTTGTACAAAGGCAGGAAATTCTATCTTTCTCTCCTGAGAAATAAAAAGAATGATCTGCCTCTACGATTAAAGTTGCTTGTAAGGCAATGAAAACATTTAGCTTTTTGTACACCAAATCCTGATTAAAAATCCTCTGCAAATCTCTTAAAGGTGCAAATAAAATGATATACAAAGCCCAAGGGTTAAATAAATACTGGGGACCTGATTCTCATTTATATCAAGGCTCCTTTGTACCACTGCTGAGCCATACAGAAGATTTAAATGCAATTTATACCTACTTTAAGGCTACTTTTCACCATTCTTATTATGTACTAAGGAGAATCAGGCCCTGAGGTTTATACTTCCCAGGGGTGTCATACATTTAGCTACTGCATCATCTTGAAAAACAGCATCAAAAAGAGGTTTGCACATGCTTAGAATAAGCATTGTCTTGCACATGAGTTTGCCCTGACCATACTCCAGTTTTTGTACTAGTTTTTGAATGTAGTCTTTTGATTTGAAGTTTAGTCGTTCCCCCAGCCTGACCCATCAACCCAGACTTAATTTGTTTTTCTGCGAGAGTTCACCTGTAAAGCCATGAGATTTCTTGTAACAGTCTCAAAACCTTTAAAAAACTCACAGCTATGCATCGCGAGGAAGGAACATTTCATTATTATCAGTTATTGTTTTGCAGTAGTACCTACAATTCCCAGCCACACACTGAACCAACATTGCATTAAACACTATATGCACACGGAAAAACAGATACCGCATTCCCCCAAAATAAGAGAGGGATTGTTTCCCATGTCTGCTAAGCCCTCCCAACGCTATCACCTTAATCCCTCCTCATTCTCAAAATCAGGCATCTAAGCCAGAAACAATACACGTAGGGATTGACCAGTCAGCTGCTTATCAAACATAAATGATAACAGCAAAATGATGCTAGCTTTCCCCTCTGGGAGGAGGCCGTTCGGCATTTCTCTTCTGCGCCTGCAGAAGGAAGCTTACAGGAACTGAGTGTTTAAGAGACCTCTACATCGCTGTCACGTTAAACTGAAACCATTCAACAGGCTGCATGCGACGAAGGCGCAAATACTTGCACTAAGACTGAATAGGCATTCTTGGAGTAACAATCCTGTCCTGAGTTCCTATTAGAGGTCAGAAGGACAAGGAAAATTGAAATTGTGTCATTACAAGCACTTGCAAAGCCTCAATTAAAACAAAAATATACCCCCTCCATATATCTGTAGCCCACTGCCTAGATAAAACTTGGTGGGTTTTGCTTGGTAGGTGGGAAGCGCTGGGGGGACACACTCTCCCATTTCCAGCCACAGTGGTAGCTAATGCTTTGTATAACAATAACTCCCCTTAGCGCTGGAGTCATGAATTTTTATAACATTCAGTTTTATTTCCTCTGTTCATTTCACATTATTTTTCCTTCTTTTCTGTCTGGCTTTGTTTGCTTTTCAGAACTGCCAGACTATCAGCTGAACTAACACTAATCATCAAGGCACTGTGCTTAGTGAATAACGGCCATAGGTGTCGTTTTTTCAGACGCTATTTTATTCTGAGTATTACGACATATTAAATAACACTGAATTCAGTGCTGCAGTCATTTGTGTAGCATTATTAATGCTCCCCTCTCTTATTTATTAATGGTCTTATTTTCTCTTTACTACAAAACCTACTTCCCAATTTATTTTAAAACTCGCCTTGGCAACTATGACCTCATTCACATTTCCACTGCACTTATTTTGTACACCTATACATGTATTTTCATTAAGTTTCTTCTTTTTAAGTCATTGGATCCTTATTCATTCATTATGCTCTTAGCTGCTGAAACGTGAAACTCGCTGTTTTCAGAAATACTCAAAACTTCTACACCACCTCATCCCTTTCCTCTCCTAACAATGTATTTTCTTCTATCATGAATACTAACCATCTACCTTCACCACAAACGCTTCACTAAACTATAGTCAGCTTTTTTAAAATAACATTTCCAGTTCTTCTCTCTTTCCCCCATATACTCCCTGCATTTGGGTAGAAAAAGACGTAACAAAAATACTGTGTTACTCTTCATGTTCTGCTTCAAGACCATGTTTTTCCTCCTCCTGTTTCCTGCACCGGAGGGTCAGGCCACAGCATAAACAAAGCAAAAGTATTTTCCTCTGCTCTGTAGCAATGGAGTGCCTGTAGGCTGATCAGCCTAAGAGGTGCAAAGACGAAGGCTTTAGAAACTGTGGTGCATAAGCATGTTTGTACTGACCACAAGTGGCTGCAGTTCCCAAAAGCTCACAACTTGGCAAAAATTTAGGCAGATTTCCAGGGAACGGCAAATGGAAACTTCCTCCTACAAATAGTCCTTGTTGTATGCTTGATCTTAATTTCCTTTTTTAAAGCGGTGATTACCTTTTTGTGTTTGTGTTTATTAATCTCTCAATTTATATTATTACATCCACATCACTCATTCCTTGGAAAATGAAAGCGGTCATGATTTTCTCAAAAAAAAAGTCATCTTTTTTTAATTAAGGGTGTTTTCGTTTTGTTTGTTCTGTGCAAATCAGTCGTACCACAGGCTGCCTGGACTTGAAATAACTCTGCAGGCTATATTTGATTGCGCTGCCTCTGTTTCCCTGAACTGGATCATTTACCATTTGAGTTTTGTAATATATTGTTCTATTACCCTAAAGGGAGTTTTGTCACTGATTTGTGTCTATACACGCCTTAAGTATTTTGCAGGCTGAAAATGTGCTCACAGCTAATGTACCAATTCTTGCCTTGGGAAACTCCACATGGTCTACATTCTCATGCTAATTTTAGCAAAGATTTTATGGCAGAAGTGGCACTGGATATAACTGACTAGTTTCTCTGTGCCGCACATGGTATCTCCACAGACCAGCTCGACAGACTGTAGTTACGCTGCACCAGCATTATGCCAGACAAAACACATATTACCCCAGCAGGTCCCCGCAGCTTACCGCAACTCTTCTAACCACCATTTCCAACTGAAGATGCTGACCTACAAGTCTCTCCTTTTGTGGCCTATGCTATCATAAATCAAATCAATTGCCTACTACAAATTCAGCCACCCAGTATTCAATTTCAGTTTTATTACGGCTGTAATCTCACACCTGTCTTCACATGTTCCAAATTGGCAACTTTTGCAGTTGAGTTTGGTAATTCTGCTAGCATGTTGCTTTGAAGTGTAATAAAACAATTTATAAAGCACTTATTTTATATTCAGATATACAGCAGTTTGGCGTCCCCACAAAACGCTACAGAAACTCACTAGAGATTTTTGAAAAATTGGAGCTTACAGCTCTCAGAAAAATAAATGCTTCTACTGTGTATGAAAATGCCACAACTGATTTGAGCACGGCAACTATTTCCAGCAGATATGATTTGAAGGCGTAGTAAACCCTGTGGAATATAACCTTCCCCTTAACAATTTGACCGCCAAATTTCATGAACACCTGATCCAAGCATTGGCTACAGGATTACAACTGGAAGCATGTTCACAGAAAATATTTTACATCAGCCAGAATTCTTATGGGTCGTGTTGCAAGTTTAACAATTTCAGGAAAAGCTCTTGATGACATAGGTAGTCAATTTTTTACAGTTTCTACCCAAATCATAAATTAAAAAGACAATAAAAAAAATTTACTTATATTGTTCTGCCTACAGCATGGTAGGACTAATTGTATGACTGGTGATAATAGAGACAGACAATCACCACGCTGCTTCATAAAGGGAAAATGAACAAACGTCAATAAATACAAAAGGCAAACGTAAGGCATGTTTTCAAACTTGGTCACCCCGCAAGCACTGACAAACTTTAAAGGAAGAGAAGATCGCTTCACCTCCTTCCTTCTACAAATTAGGTGTATGTGATTGCAATTTTCGGCTTCCTCATTAGCCACGTTCTTTAAAAATAGAAAAATATCTGTCTTTGGATCTGGTCTGAGGACGGAACATGAGACCAGCTTATATACAGCCCTTAGTGGAGAAGGCAGTGTAAAGTATTACGGTCTTCAGAACTTCATGCCTCTCAGAAATTAGAAAGAGCTGGAGCTGCCAGTGTTTTACTTCTGAGTTAACA